GGTGAAGATATGTCTACCGGCAACGTAGTATCTGTTGTTGTCTCGCTGTGTCACCTACTATTACAGTGACAAACTATATATATGCTATTATTAAAAAAATCATTATCGGCTAACCGGCTCGATAATGTTAAGTTCTTCAACAAAACGATAAGAGTTTCAATTAAGTTAATACCTTATTCTCGAGATAGCTGGGAAAGTAAAATATGACACCTAGGGTTCTTTATTTTTTTCCTGTATACTGTACTCTCAGAGCTGGGAATTTTAGGCACTCATCAATGTACAAATGCTTCTACTTACTCGTTTTTTTTCCAATTAATCCTGTCAGGGAGATCATTTTTCTCCTGGGCATAAAAATGTAAGAAATACATGTACTTTGGGCTTTCATTACATTAAATGCGATTATATGTTAGGTAGAAAATAATATAAACTCAAATGTACTAAATTTTATTTTAGATATTCCTTACAAGTGGAAACATGACGTGGGGGTGTGTGGGGTGGGGGTCGGGGTTATATGCGTGTAATTGCATTAGTAATGTTGTGTTTAAGGTCAGATGATACAAACTTTTGTAAAAAATTGAAAATAAGAACTTGAGTCATGTCTTTACGAGTTAGCGACGTTCGATCCTGATATATAAAGTCTTAAACTTTTTTTGCCAAGTTTATTTTGAAATTCTACTTACAAAGCTTAATTAAAATTCAAATAAAAAATTGGGGGTCAATATGCTTCTTTTGGCGCTACAATACATTTATTATGACATTCTTGCACTGAAATTTGTGTCTTAATTTAAAATTACATCTTCGACGTTTTCCCTGCAATATTTTTATCCAATTAAAGCATGAAACACAATGAACTCCACGTCTGTTTTAAAAAAAGACACTTTAAAATTGTAACTATGAAAAAAATTTCAAAGTACTTTGCATAATCAATTATTTGACCTTTCTGCACCTATAAAATGTGATTTTTCTGGCACTGAAAATTTAATAAGCAACAATTTTTTTTTAATCAAGCCATAAAACATGTAACAAGACCTTGACTGATGAAGAAATGATGCTTATTTCAAAACCTTGGCAATAACAATAAACCGGGGGGGGGGGGGGTGGCGTTAAGCCCCCACTTTTTTGCAAACATAGACATAATACATAGGCATTTAAAATTGGGAATTGGGGTTTCCCTTTTTTGTTTGTTAAGCCCCCCTCCCCCACACCGCCCTTCAATTAGATAGAATATTCTATCGTTAAAATAATATTGTTCTATGGACCCGGTTTAATAGTAGTGAGGGCGTGTCCCGAGACACGGTTAGATTATTCTTACCACCCTTCAATTTGCTTCCGACGCCTATGCTTGCAGTACCATTCAAACTTTATAAAATGTCAGAAATCATTTAGCGGTTTTTGTGCATTGATCGCTATAAATGAGAAGTTCAACCGGCCATTTTTTCCATCCCCCCAAAAAAAACAACCACCCACCCCCCCCCCTCCAAAAAAAAAAACAATAAAATCAACCTTCGAAAGGAATAACAGCCTAAAATAAAATCGTGAATTAAAAACTGTGAATGTATATACCATTAACCAATTTATATCTATAGTGTAACTATAACATATTTGTTACACTTTGTTGATAGAATTCATAAAAAATAATTTAATAGATATTTTAGATCCAGCATGACACATTTTACTGCAAAAAACAGCTTTGTGTGTGACCAGCATGGAAAAATAGTAATCCAAAATAAAGAGTACTGTTATAGTTTAAAAGGGAAAACCGATGATTTTCGTCTATAAAACCTTCTGCCACAAAAAGCGTGTTCCTAGTTTAATTCAAATTGAATTGGATTTAATCGTTTTTTTATTGAAGATAGTTCATTTTGCATTGTAGAATTCAGATTTAGTGTTAGAATTTAAAAATGATGCAGAATTTTATATATAAAGAACATGACCAAAATCCACTCAAAAACTCAGGATCGAATGTCTTTAAATGAATAAGATTCATAGCTTAGGTTAGCAATCTTTTTAATTTAAATTTAAACTAAAATGGAATTTGAAGTAAAAAAATTTGTATATATTAATAGGGATAGTTTCAGAGAGGCTGGATTTTTCTCATCACAAAAGATTTAGAATTTCTTTATATTCTAGAAAATTATAATTTGCATCCTTTTCAGTAAAATTAGGCCAGAAAATATATATCATTCCAGGAATTCATATTTTGTTTAAATCATCTGTCCCTAATGGATATAAATAGGCAAATATACAATTACGTTTCGACAGAGAGAACAAAAAAACCCCATCTTTCTCACATCCGTTCTTTCTGTTGTAAATAAGGTTTGTGACACAAGAAATATCATAATTTCAACTTGATATCTTTCCTCATGTAACATTCTTGATACTGAATTACATCATGTGAATTATAGGTTGATTATTTTTTGCTAAGACACAGTGCTAAAACTAAATATTTAGTATTTTTCTATATACATGGGTGGGTTGATATCATTAATAATGTTTAAAACTTTCTTTGATGATGTACTTGTACCATAGAGGAAAACTAGGTACATGTAGAGGAAAAAATGGTGAACTATTTTTTTGATTAATTCCATTGTTATTCTTCCAGTCTAAATTTACGATGATAGCTCCACAGCTTATGTGCATATAATGTTCATTCAAGGGCAGCTTAGTGTAAATTCTAAAAGCTGAAAAATTAAATCAAAATATCAATATTTATTAATATATTGTTATATGTCGTATGTGTTTCACTTAGATGGTTACTAATGCTATGTGCATATAAAATCCCCAGGCACGTTGGTGTTACAACGCACTTTGAAAAATTACGCACTTTGAAAAAAATTTTCAAAGTGCGTTAAATTTGGGACCAAGCTATAACGCACTTTGAAAAAATTATTTTTTTTTTCAAAGTGCGTTGATATCGACCATATTGACGCACTTTGAAAAAAAAATGTATATTGATCAATATTCTTACAAGTAATCGGTATGATAAATAACAGACCCTGGATGGATGACTTTTTTATGGTGAAGTCACTTCAGGACCTGAGAAGTTGACGTTTTAAATATTTGAGGTTTTGATAAAATAAAAGGGAAGGGGGTCTTGAAAAAAAGAGTGACGATTGTTTAAGATCACTAATTCGTTTCTTTCTTTTCTTTAAATTCTAGTCTTTGATAAGTATATGTAAAGCTATAAAGGGGGCAGGGCACTTACAGTGGACAGCTTAAAGCAACTTAGCATTTATCATAATAGAAAGGGGGCAATTTGATTGTTTAAAACAATGAAAATTCTTTCTCTCTCATACGTTTTACTGTACTTCAATATTTCTAGTTTTCACCTGTTTTAATTAACTCATTTAATATTGAAAGTTTTCAACCTCATACTAGTTAGGTAAATACAAAATTATATAAATATTTTGAGTATAGCATAGAAATCGAGACCAGGCAATAGGCCAGGGGAGGAGGGGCTTAGCCCCCCCCCCCCCCACTTATTCTGGAAGGATATATACATCGTATAAGCATTGAAAATGCAGCTTACCCTTTTTGCGTTTATTGCTCCCCTCCCCCGTTTGTTACCGACACCTATGTATTCAAAAGATAAAGATTTGGACCGAGGGATCTTATACCTGTCTTCTCCTTTTTTTGGACGGGAGTTAATCAATTCATAAGTTTTTGAAAGATAAATAACAAATAAAATCTTTCCATTAAAAAAATAATATTTTTTTTTCAAAGTGCGTTAAGTGTCTCCATGGTAAAATATATTGATGTAGACTCTTAACGCACTTTGAAATATTTTTTCAAAGTGCGTTGAGTTGATCCCAAATTTAACGCACTTTGAAAAAATTTTTCAAAGTGCGTTGATATTGTCCCAATTTTAATGCACTTTGAAAAATTTTTTCAAAGTGCGTAATTTTTTCAAAGTGCGTTGCCACACGTTGGCAAGAACTACAGCCATAAACGATAACCAAAACTACGATTTATTACTGGACAAAACGAATGTATACATAAATGTATAAATGCGATTTGCATTAGCAAAACGAATAAACATAACATCATTACATGTTACATCTTTTCTCCTTTGTAAAGTTTCTTTCATTGTCCAATTAGTCAAGATCAAATTTCAAAATGATTGTGTTCAAAGAAATTATCAAGGTAGCATTAAATTGACTTGTAAATGCAAAATGTATGAATTATGATTTTTAACTTCACATACAGACATAATACAGTAAAGATGATAACAATTTGAGCTCTTGCTCAAAATTGGTAAGCCAGGGATTATTATGCCCTATTCACAACTTACCAAACATAACTTCATAAACACAAATAATGCACTGACAATGTTACTTTACATAGTCATTGAATCGGATGGGCACTTTCACTTCGCGTCCTGATCTGGTGATGGTCTGCGATGCCTTTAATGTATCCTGCTCTTTTGCGGACTCGATCATCTGTTTTGAGTCAGACATTTGAATTGGCTTCTCTTGTTCGACATGTATCTCTCGGTAATCCTCAAGGGCTATATCATCACTTTCGGACTGTTCCTGATGTTTGCTGGGTCTTAGATGTCGTCTATTCCTGCGGTAGTGTTGACCATCAGACTGGACCTCATAAGAGCGATTTGGTAAAACTTTGGTCACTACCCCTTTCTTCCATTCTTTTGACTGTCCGATTCCATCAGGTGGTGCAATGCGCACAAGATCTTGAATCTTCAATGGTTTCAGATCCTTGGTCCCACGATTGAAGTTATGTGCTTGTCGTTCTTTCAGTCTCATAAGCCTCCTTCCTTGCTCCTTCAGATCTGGAACTTCCGGCACTAGTAACGACTGTCTAGTAGGCAATAATGTTTTCGTTCTCCTATTCATGAGACGTTGTGCTGGACTTGTTCCCATGCCTTGTGTAGGTGTATTCCGAAAGTCCAGTAAGGCTAGATAAGGGTCTGAATTAGACTTCACTGCGCGCTTCATCAATCTCTTTGCCATTTTCACGGCCTGCTCTGCTCTGCCATTGCTCTAAGGGTATTTTGGAGAACTTGCAATGTGTTTAAATTCCCAAAGGTGAGCAAATTCAGCAAACTCATCTGAGCTAAACTGCGGTCCATTGTCACTGACAAGAGAGCAAGGTATCCCGTATCTCGCAAAATGAGCTCTGAGTTTCTTGATTACTGTTTTCGATGTTGAACAGGAGAGGTGGTCAACTTCCCAGAAATTCGAAAAATAATCAACAGTCACCAGATAATCTTGGCCATCAAACGTAAAAATGTCACAAGCAATCTTTCCCCAAGGTTTATCTGGAACTTCATGTGACTTAAGTGTCTCTTTGTACTGTTTGTCATCTAACGATCTGCATATGTCACATCGGCTGATGAAGTCTTTGGTCTCGGCATTCATGCCTGGCCAGAATAAGTTCTCACGCGCACGACGTAGACTTCCTTCCACTCCTATGTGAGACTTGTGAATCTTGCATAACATGTCCTGCCTCATGCTGATGGGTATCACAATTCTGTCTCCGCGGAAGATAACTCCATCCTGTACGACTAGCTCATCTCGAAAATTGAAATATGGCCGCACTATGTCCTTGACATCAGATACTATCTCGGGCCATCCGGTAAGTATTACATGAATGAGTTCCTGTAATGTGTTGTTTCGTCGAGTTTCGTCTCTAATTTCTTGAAGACTATCTCCTACCGTTGGTTGTAGATGTGTGAAATGAACTATTTCATCTAGGAGTGCACCTGTACGATCACTGTTTTGAAGGTATGCTCTACTAAGCGTATCGGTTAAGTGCATTTCCTTGCCGGGATGATACTCTAGCTTTGTTGAGTATTTCTGCAGTCGAAGCAGCATCCTCTGTAAGCGTTTCGGTGCTGTATGAAGTGGCTTCTTCATTATGATTTCTAAGGGTTTGCTAAGAATTGGTTCTGAAGTCACCAATCTTTTGACTTTCTCTACTGCTAAGTCATGAATCTCGTGCCAGCTCCACAATGTGTCTTTCACTGTAAGCTTTCGTAGCGGCTCACAAATGTCACTCAAACTCGGTAGAAACTTGCTTAGGTAGTTAACGAATCCCAGGAAGCGTCTCACTCCTGCGACATCTGTTGGATTCGGCATTTCGTTCACAGCTTTGACTTTCTCAGGGTCGGGCTTCAAACCGTCCTTTGTTATGAGATGTCCTACAAATCTCACTTCCGTTTCACGAAGTCTTAGCTTGTCCTTGTTGAGCACAAGTCCTCGTTCACGACATCTCTTCATGAGTGCTTTCAGTTTCTGGTCATGGTCTACAATGGCATCCTCTTCTGTGTCGCCTTCACCATAAACCAATATGTCGTCAGCAATACTCAAGACACCTGGTAGTCCTTCTACCGCCTGATCTTGACGACGTTGATACTCTTCCGGTGCAGTCAAGATACCGAAGGGCATCCTTAACCATCTGAATCGTCCAAATGGGGTGTTGAACGTAGTAAGTATTGAGCTTTCCTTATCTAATTCAACATGCCAAAATCCATTACGTGCATCCAGAACACTAAATACTTTTGCACGAGAAAGTTTTGGAAGTATTTCCTCTATCATAGGAAGTGGATAATGGCTCCTCTTAAGTGCTTTGTTCAAGTCCTTCGGATCTATGCAGATTCTGACATTGTTTGGTTTCACGACCTTCAAACAGCTGGAGACCCATGGTGTTGGTTCACTTACTGGTGTAATAATGTTCATTTCCTGAAGTCTATCAAGTTCTGCTTTTAACAATGGCTTCAGTGCGATAGGCACTTTCCTTGGTGGATGAACTACAGGCTGTATGTTTTCATCTAGAACTAAGTGATATTTTCCTGCGAGACGACCTACTCCTTCAAAGACATCTGGATACTCTGCGAAGAGCTGCTTCTTGCTGAGAGGTGATGGTAACAGCTGTCTCACACTTAGAATGTTCTCCTTTCTCCAGTTCAAGAGCTCCATGTGCTGTAGAGTTTTATTTCCTAAGAGTGGCATGCAGTCCTCCTTGATCACAACAAATTCAGTGTCATATGAGGTACCATTCCTTGGATTGGTAACTTGCAAGTGTACTTTTCCTAGCGGCCTTATGGTAGATTTGTTGTACATCTTCAAGGTGTAATTTGTAGACTGAAGTGGCGGCATGTTTGGAATCACACTTTGTGGTAAAATGTTACATGTGGCCCCACTGTCCAGTTGAAATGTCACTTTCCTTCCATGAATTATCACAGACGCATGTACACTGTTGGAAACTGAGTGTGCAGAATGTGTGTTTTCTTCTTGAATGGTCCAAACTGAATAGTCATCATCACTGTCGGTGTCTGAACAACCTGTCCCAATGTGATGTACAGTTTTCTTCTTGAACTTTGGTTGTGATTTCTTGTTAGCACTTCTGCATACTGTTTCGAAGTGATTCATTTTATGGCACAGTCGACACGTCTTTCCATATGCTGGACATTTTTCTTTCTTGGGCTCATGTACTTTGGCACAATATCTACAAGGTTTGTTGTTATCTGTGTGTGAATGTTTACTTCCACTTGTCTTTGCACTAGGTTTACCTTTGCCGATTTTGTTGACATTTTCTGCATGGCTGCTTAACGAATTGTTGTTGCCGTCCAATACACTAATTCCTTGTTTTGTGATTTCTGCTGCACGCGTTATGTCGACATACTTATCCAAGGTAAGTTTTGGTGTTCTTAATAAACGTTCTCTCAGGTGTGAGTCAAGTATCCCGCAAACTATTCTGTCTCTCACTAGTGAATCAACTATTTCTCCATAGTTACACTTTGCAGCTAATGTTTTTAGATCAGTAATAAAAGTTTCTATCGTCTCACCTTGTTCCTGTTTCCTCATATTGAACCTGAATCTCTCTACTGTTTCGTTTCTTTTGGGTCTACAGTAAGCGTCAAAAGCTTCGAGACCAACTGTTTAAAATAGTCTTTTATTAGAGCGGAAAATTTTTTTCCTTCACCGTACATAAATATGGGCGCACTTGTTACAAACATCCAGCCGGTGACCGGTTCACTTTTATAACATGATATATTGACCCGGTTAGTATCGCTAAAACTAGTGAAAATTAAGCCAGATATGGCTGTTTTATGGTGCTGTTGCTGTAAAAAAAATATTCATTGAACGCACGAGGAAAACCATTTTGTTGATATATTTCGTTTTAATATTAGACGCCCGCGTGGCGCAGTGGTTAGAGCGTCTGCTCTAGAGTCGCAAAGTAAGGAGTCAATCCTTACGTCGCGGGTTCTAATCCCACTGCGGGACTTGGAGACTGGTCCTTCGGATGAGACCGTATAAACCGAGGCCCCGTGTCGCAATAGGTGCTGGCACGAAAAAGATCCCTCACTCCTCAAAGGCCCTAAGTGCCGAGCATAAGACAAAATTTGTAGCCCTCCACTGGTAAGTGGTGGCGTCTCCATATGAGTGAAAAATTCTCGAGAGGGACTTTAAACAACATACAATCAATCATTTAATATTTACTAGATCCATCAAATGATTTGTGAATTTGTAGCACAGTGCCTAGTTACACACAAAACTAAAAAGTATCTTTAAAAATAATAAAAAAAAATGTTGGTTGTGCAAACATAAACACACACACACATGTTGTGAAAGTTACTTATTTTCTTAGTACTACATATAGATGTTTATTGACACTGAAAAAATAAAAAAAAGAATATTTCACCATTAAGAAAATTTGTTACCCCGTTTTTCATTTGGCTGTTCGAATTTTGTCGGGCGATCCGGGCTACTTTCTGACCGCCCGGTTGAAAAATATTCCAAACAATGCAATTGACTTCAGGAAGTATCAACCGGCTTGACCCGGCGTATGAAACAAGTTGACCCTATATGTTTGCCATTCAGTATAATTAAGCCCCCCCCCCCCCAACCCCGATGCCTTTTCTCCTGAAACAAAATTCTAAGTGGGTATTTTCAGTATATTTTTTTAATATAATTACATGTAAATCTAATATTTCATTTGTATTGTAACACAAGAAAATCAGTCTTAAAACCAACATCAAACGGTAATTAAACAAAAGTATTTTAGAATACACTTGTGCCGACAGCAGTATTTTGAAATACCAAGGAATATGCTTCAAATTCAATTTTAAAACTTAATCCTTCCAACATGTGTTTATTCTCATCATATATTTATTTTATCTGAAGGAATGCAAAAATCAGATCTAGAAATAAAAGGGGTAATTATTAAAACTTCGTGGAAATACCCAGTGACTCTTTGCCTTCAGTGAAACGTGATTTCCACACGTCCACTGTGTCGAATGCTTTTGATTGACAGGACAAGCACATGGACTTCCTGTGAACCGTGTGAATTTGATGAAGGGAAATAAAAGCCAATGATTGCTTCAAATGGATTTGTGAATCAAAAAAATATTGATTACCTTTACTGCTTGGAATATTTAGGAAAAATAATAAAAAAATTTATTTATTAAGATATCCGAGAATTGAGGTGGTTTCTCTGTCTGTCTCTTTTTCTCTCTCTCTCTCTCTCGTACATTTCGCTATTCCATAAAAGCTATGGCTGCACATAAGTTATTTAGTTTTGAAAATTTAATCTATTTCAAATAATTTGAATACCTATTTCCATCATTTTGACCGAGTATAATCACGGCCTAGAAATGTCTATGGATACATGTAGAAATTAGTTTAAATAATCATCATAAAAGAATACAAAAGACTCATAAGTATAGAATTTTTTGCATTAGAATAAAAAAAAACGTGAGCTTTTATGCAATAGGTCAACATGCAGTTGTGAATAAAACAAAAAATATATTATTTTACTCAGAATCGCCTTTACACGGAAATACATGCTTCAACCGCGTACAATGTAATTAATTTATTCTATAAATTGTGGTTTAATCTTCCAAAGTCCAAATTATTTTATTATGGAAAAGAATAAGCATATTTACTTTATAAAAAGATTAATTTTATATTTTAACTACACGCGTTCGGTAACAAATACACATGTTTAACGACAATAAAAATCGTGTAATAAAAATATTGATTTAAAACATAGGTACATATATGTACAGAAAAAAAATGTTTTTATTATTTATTGATTTATCTATTTTTTATATTAAAGCACGTGAAATTAGAATTATAAAAAAGAATCATTTCAATGCAAGGAAAAGATCGGAGGCATTCCGAATGAATCGTTTATCTTGAGTTCACCGTTCACTTTGCGCTCGCGCTCCATTTGCGTTCTGCGTTCACTCACCGTTCACCGTTCACACATCGTTCACCAAGTTGCATTAAGCGTTCGCATATCGTTCACCCACCGTTCGCTCTGCGTTCGTTCACAATTCTTTTACCGTTCAGGTGGGAAAGTAGAAGGTTTTAGGGACTGTACTTATCGGGACTGTATATATTCACTCCACAGTCGTATTAAACAGTGAATTTGGATGGTTAGAATGTCATCAATCTGGGAAAACATTATATCAAATGGGATATCAACTATTCAACCAAAAATAATTTCATATGGAGTTATCATTATAACGAACCAAGTTGTTCATAAATTTCAATTGTATATAATTTAAGCTATGCATTTTGCATAAGATAATCCTAGCTTTTTTTAATTTGTAAATTGTCTGAGATTTTCAAAGAAAAGTGGAAATTGAAAAAATTTTCCATACCAAAATGGAGACCATTATTCATTCTAAACCTAATTTCGAACAGATATCCAACGTAACGACAAAGAACTATATGCGGCATATTGCAAATCTTTGCCCCCATAAAATTCAAATGTTGAAAAAAATCTTGAAATGTGCTGAATTTTATAAATTGTATAAGAAATATAAATTAACAGATCATATTATAGTTTCAGAGTAGTTAATTGACAATTTTTGTTTTTATGACATCACAGACTAGTTTGATTCTATGTCAGTTTTTAGAAAGAGGACAAATTGACAAAATTGCAATAATTTTAGCATTAAAACATAAAATATACATTTTTCTGTACAGATCAAAGGAACTTTAAATTTACGTCATTTTCTTGATGATCATTCCAAACATAAGACGTCATTGCTAATGAAAATATTAAGTGTTTTCCCCTGTTTAAGAACAAAATTAAATATTTCTCCATCAAAGTTTGATTTTGGTGGGCAAATTTTGGCTATTACCGAATAAAGTTCTTCGAACAAACAGGAACGCTCTGTAAAGGCACTGTTTCGATTCGGTTTCGGTTTCCCGTTCTTCGGATGGAAACTGGCGAATTTCATAACGATGTTATTACACTTTAGCGAATAAAAACATTTTCTTTTGTAAAGATTTTGAAAACATCAGAGAAACCTATTAATATTAATTGGTTGCCAGCGTTGCAGAGTGGTTAAATTGTTTGCTCTATTGTCCTAAGGAAAGGAGCTAATCTTATGCCGCGAGTTTGAATCCAAATGGGTTGTTGAGATCAAACCTTCGGATGAGAACGTATATATATATACTGAGGTTCCTTGTCGCATTAGAGGCTGCCATGAAAAATATGCTCAGTGGCCCTGAATGCCGAGTATACCGCCAGAAAGCTTTGTGGTGTCTCCATGTGAAGAGATCTTAAATAATATACAATCAATCGATCAATCAGATAATATTAATTTTAAAAGAAATGTAAATTTTGCTGATAATTCAAACATTTTAATAGAAAAAAAAACCAACAAAGACAAACTGCTAAGTTACAATATGTATGAAAATTAAAATAAGTTTCATATTATGAAACAAGGTAAAAGTCCAATGGACCTACACCATATGGAATTAATGGAAATAAGTAAAACTATTTAAGTTTTAAGTCCATTCAACAATACGAGACAGGAGCAGAGCAAACGAAACCCAAAAACATTTAGTGCTGTAGAGGAGTGAGTATCCCCTGCCGACAGGTCACACCTGCATCTAGTCATGATAACGAAATAGCGGAAAAATCAACATTTATATAATGACCATAAAATCAGTATGAGATACGTCGGTCAGCATTTAATTTAATGATAAACTCTATTTGCTGATAAGGTCATTATATCGACCATATAATTACAAAATGATGCTTTTAAAAAACTTCTGATATTCATCTTTCAGTAATTTATTTGTTTTGATCATTTTATAAGTTTATTTGTCAAAAACGTACCTCAGAGGCAGATGATAAAAGTGCACTGCTGCATACGTAAAGAAGGTTGACGATTGAAAAGTTTGAGTAATTTTGTTTGTAAAAGCTCTTGGATGTTAGGTTACAATTACCATATCTAACTATTAAACAGATGTAAAAGATGCTGTTGTATCTTTTATTTTCAAGCGCAGCGGATAAATCGTTTCAGCAATATAATAGAATGAAAATAGACATTGTTACTTGTAATGGACGATACGTCGTTGATATCTTTTAATGTCGAGTTGAAGGTCGCAGCAAGTGTTTTCTTCTTTTACATGTTTTAAAGATAAGAATACAAAAATAGGCCTGTTAATAAGGGAATGTAATTGGTATTCATTGACTTTTAGAAACCTGGTCTCCAAAAACCACATACTTAGATGAAGTTCTTGTGTAAAGTATTAAAAACAGAAAACTGCATTTTAAAATCTTCATACGAATATCGGCAACATGATGCAGAGAATGGGTCGGGAACAAGCACCAGTATAAATTGGGCGCATGACGTAAAGCTTGAATTATTTAGGTTGGGTGAGGGAGAATTTTGGATGAATCAACAAGTAATAAACTTTTCTAATTTCATGCATATATATAAAAACAGAATACAGTGAAACCTGTCTAATCCGACATGCACTGGGAGACAAATTTTGTGTCGGAATAGACAGGGTGTCGGATTGCACAGTGTGAAAAACGTGGAAAATAGTAAACTAGG